CCATAAATATCATTATCGTAGGACCTTCAGATAACAAAGTAGTAATAATTAAAACAAAATTAATCAAATTTAATTTGCGCACATTATTATTCAATGAGCAAATTGCGTACGCCGTTCAATGAACTACGAAACAGCTGAACTCATTTTGATTGTACTATTCAAGGATATAGCTTAGTTTCTCCTAGCTGAAAACTTCGCCTGAATATTCAGTATTTCCGAAGCATCACTACTTATTTCGTTTTTGCAATTCATTATGGATGTTACGATCAAGATATCGGTTAAAACTGGTGTTACATTTTTCGGCTTCTTTGCAAATTAGGTTATCTCAGACAGTGAAGAACTAAAAATAGGCTAATTTACTCGTCTATAATTTGTCATTCGTTTTTCCAGCTTTTTAATTTTAGAAGACGCTGGTTTTTAGCTCCAATACTTTATATTACTTTGAAAGTGGCTTTAGTATGTAGATAGGTTCTCTTGATAAATAAATGTTAAGTAATTTTATTAGTCGATCATATATTTTTGATATCGACATTAATATCATAGTGTGTATTTACAAAATGAGTAAAAATCGCGAGTCATAAATCTACAGTCGTAGATAAAAATGAGGTTATCTTGCAAGTTTACTTAGCAAGTTATAAAATATATACCAAGTAGGAATATTTTTGTAGTACATTCATTCAATATTATAAACAAAAATACTAAACTAAATAAACTAAATGAGAAGAGATTATAGGAGATATAGGAGAGATATATTAATTTTATTCCAACAAAAAACCCGGGGCCACACTAGCCATGAAGTTTGCAAGACCTTTAAAACCAAATCATAGCATCAGCAGCAGTACTATCAATACAATTATTTCAGTTGCAAACATGGGTTAAAAAATAAACTGACTGCTTAATATTTGCACCAAAATAAGTCTATTACTAAACGACAAACAAAACCACCAAATAACACAATCTTTATAAGCATTCAAGGATTAGACAAACACACTTTGCAATTTTTGTAATAGACTACATAATAATATACAGTTGCCACATAACATAACACCACGCCTTTTATCCCCGAAGCGGTAGGCAGAGGTGCACATGACTATTTACGTTATGAGTCCCATGAGGGGTGAGCCTATTTGCAAATACCGGGTACATATCCAGACTCTGTTCTACTACTGAAAATCTTTCCAACGAGGCAGTCAGTACATAACTGATACGATATAATTACTATACTTCCTTACATAATATAACATAACATTCACTAATAAACCATACTTACATAACAATAGGAGGTAATAATTACATTAAAATCTATGTACAAATATTTAAAGCAATACAATTATGTGATAGATTGTTCCGTTATCTGCACTCAAATAGAATGGCTTAGGTACAATTGTTTGTTTACAAACTGAAATGTAGGAATTGTTTCACGGACTCGGTAGCAACAGGTTATTAGATTTATTTGGCACATCACATAACATAACATCACGCCTTTTATTCCCGAAGGGATACGTAGAGGTGTACATTATGCCACTGTACAATGTAACACCCACTTTTCACTATTTATGTTATAAGTCTCATGTAATAGGGGGTGAGCCTGAGTTATTTGGCACATCTGTATTGTAAATATATCTTCTTAGTTGCATTTAATTAATCGTGTATTTGAATGTTGCTTTAAGAGATAAAAAGGCAAATTTTTAGAACCTATGAAAGTACCTGAGTAAGTATGAGAATATTGTCTAAAGGTGATATTAAAAAAGAAAAGAATAGAATATGATATGTCATCACCTACTCCTTTTCTTTTGAACTCCTTCTATGGATATCGAAAAAGACACGAGTAGTCTCTTATTTAGTAAAGCAGCACTCTTATAAACCTGAACCATTTAAACTGCGTGATCCAACCTGCCTACCAAACGTAAAGATGTGGAAAACTCCTCTTGACGTACCAAGAGGCAGCGCATCTTTTGCGGAAGATCATAAAGGCATTAATTAATTCATGTTATAAATATTAGTTATCTACACACATCAGAAGACTGAAGAAGTAGCTATCACCATTCTAAATGAAGCCAAAAACCCCATTTCATGAGGAGTTTAGTATGCTTGACGTAACTAACTAGAGTGTCGACTTGTCGTCCAATGGAAACATTAGGCAGCTATGCAAATGTAATGCATTTCCTCATTTAAATAAACTTACTTCTGCTTGTAAAGTACTTAATGGTCTGGGTATTTTCTTCTCAATGTAAGGTAAGTGTGGACATAGAATAAATAGTTTTTGTAAGGAAATGTGTAATTTTTCAGACATCTCAAGTTCGTGTAGCTTTCGTTTATTTTTTCTAAAGTTTCTAAAGGTGTAGGTAGACCGATAATAACTTATTTCCTATAACATACTATATAACACACTAACTTTCTACAAAGTTTAAAAAAATAATAGATTGATAGTAGTATAATTAGTAATTTAAGTTTGGGAGTTTCGACACGAATAGGCCGGATCAACCGGAGTGATACCATGACCTCACACAAAACCGACGTGAAACAACACTTACGTCGTGTTTCATGTTACGAACTAGAAGCCTCCGTCCGATTCCCAATTCCCAAAATGTCCAAACCTCCAAACGGCCGACAACGCACTTGTCGCCCCTGGTGTTGCGAATGTCCACGGGCGACGCCGATTGCTTACCATCAGGTGATCTATCCGCTCGTTTACAGCGACTACTTATATCATAAAGAAATAATCGTACGTTCAACCCGTGTATGGACAGTTGCCAGAAATTATGCAATGATACATGTCATTCTACGGGATAGTGGTCATTAATGCATTGCGTAGTGACAATTAGAAAATACAGGAAATAGACTAGTTAATTGATTTATCTCTAATTTGGAAGAGTAAGATATTAATACTGACTGCCTCGTTGGCCGAGTGGTCGTAAGTGCGACTCCGAGGGTATAATTCCAGGGCTACGCAAAGTATTACTAGGTTTTTAAAAATATCTCAATAGTAGCACGGAGTCTGGACTTGTGCCCGGTATATGGCAAAACTAAAAGGCTCACCCCCTACTACATGGGACTCATAAGAGAGTTTATCCTAATCTCCAGTCTTGGCGGGTTTAACTTTGCGGATAAAAACTTTTAGGTTTACCAGAAAGCGCTGCTACCCGGTCTCCATCAAGTCTTTGATTATAGTTACTTTATTCTTTTATTGGGACCAAATAATGTGTAGGATGTTATTGAAGAACCTGGATTTATTACAAGACACCAACACAATTTTATGTAAAGGAAAACTATTCATAATAATTTAAAGTTAAGCTTAGGTAAGTGTTTTCTATCTTAGAGAATACAATAAAAACTTAATAAACTTTGTATCAATCTACTGATTAGGAAATATATATTTTAGATCATTAATATAAATCTTAGTTATCATTGCACTTATGATGCAATTTGGTCGCATTCGACATTTGCGAGTTTATCAATATTTACCAAAACATTACCCACTCATTTATGTGTCTATCAGAACTATTTATTTTATAAATCGCGAATAAACTGCAAATTGATTTATTAACAACACAAGAACATTTCAGAGATAGTAGGTGCTAAGATAGTATTCTTTTAATACCGGGCGGAATCGTTCAAAAGGCGTTTATAACTGACTTAAAAAAAGAAGGAGTTTTTATCTCGGTTTAACCTATATTTATGTAGTCGCGGAGAATCTAACGGGTAACCGGGGCTCCGGCTCGACGTGCAGGAGTAGGAACGGGGTGTTTTTTAGTCAGTAAGAGTCTGACACTCCCTCCCGCCTCGCCCAGGCGGGAGGAGTCATTCGATGATTTTCCCCCCTTAAAAAAAACCTATATTTATGTATGTTTGTGCGTGATTATCTCACAATTGACTGAACCGATTTTGACGCGGTTTTCAGTAAAGCGTTTGTTATACTTAGGAGAACATTCTAGAGGACATTAACAGAGTTGAAGAAAGAGGGGAATCAAGGCAGTTTTTTTTAAACGTTCTTAGTTTATACAAGAAATATTAAGAAGACATACTAGGGAGTGTAGAATTAAAACCACTCCAGTGGACACACTCAGCACCTGTAACGGGCACTGGGGCCTCTAATGAAACTGCTCCGGAGCTCCCATCAATAATTTTTCTATCAAGACGAAGATCTTCAAAATAATTAGGAATAGCTTGATGTACTGGCATTGTTATTACTATGGTACCTTTGGTAAGTGTTCAGTTTACTTTTCTAGTAACACAGTGAACTTCTATTGTTAATGATTGACCCAAACAATTCATACATATTTTATAAGACAATGTACTTCGTTCGTACTTAACGTTCACACAATTTCTTCAGTTTATAGCTCATTTTTACAATTGAAAACCGACCATAGTATTATATTGCAATTATAATTATAACGATAACACATTACAATTGGTAGTATTAATATTACTTAACGTGATAAAATTTTACATCGATAATATTACGTAAAGATAATTAGGTATTATTTATTTGCATTTTTTTTTCAAGATTCAAGCACCGGATACTTTCAGTTCCATTCTATAATTCAAAAAATCTATTTCTCGCTTCGTTCATATTATTAAACGATCTAATCGAGATCTTATTCGAGACATTATGTCGTTATTAAGTTATTATTTAACGATTCGTTCCGCCAGCAATATCGCACCAAGTTGTTATTTTAATCTCCATGTCGATTAAACCTGAATTTACCATCGCGACACTTCACATTATTTTAAAGACGTTCACTATTTAATTATATTATAATTCACACGAATTTTATATTTTATTGTTCACTTTAATAATTGCAACTTGAAAAATGGCCATTCACAAAAATTTCGAAGAAAAAGCAACGCGATTCTAAATTTGAAATTTTGGCGCGCATTATTTATGAAATCCGACACTACATTTTTTAATTATTAATGATTTTATAACACAAAGGCACTGTAAAAAGAAGGTTGGTTTATTTAAAATTATTAAAATAAAATAAAAAAATTGTACGTACCGATTCCGGCGATGACATATTGCCGCCACAGTTGTCCTGCCTCCATTCTGTACGCTTGCTGGTTGACTGGCGCACCGGTCTGACCAACCGGGTCGTAAGCGTAATTCCTATCTTCCATACGTCACGCGACGTCACCCGATATGTGTTACGTTGCTGTGTTTACGTTGAGTAGGGCTCGAGGGTGGATGCTTGGCAAACACCCGACTTTTTGCCGCCAATTCTGTGGATGAAGACCTCGTGTTAATATAGTGCTGATACTTTGGGATTTTTCCCATAGACGTGGCTGTGGAACCCCATGACGGGGGCATTCATCATCAGTTGAGACTTTGGCAAGGAATTAAGCCGGCTACACTGAGAGACCCATTGAGAAAAATCAATGGCGTTGGCATCCTAAATCTATGCCAACATCAAGTTCTATAGCGATCTTTGGAATCTTTGGAATCCTGAACATAACATTTTTCATAATATCCACGCATGATTCCATAAACTCCACGGTTATGATAAACCTCATATAATTAAAATACACACATACATAACCTCACGCCTGTCTCCCATAGGGGTAGACAAAGACTATGGAACGACAATTCTTTACATACCGCTTTCGCTTCCCCAACAGACATTAGTATTTTCGTACATGCTCGTCGGTTAAGGGTACTTTTATAAATACACAATTACAATATCTGTAATTAGTCTTGTAAAGTAACTAGCCTTGTTACAGATGAACAAAACAACGGTAATCTCAATTACATTAGGTGCATCGTGCATAGGTACTATCTACTGATAAAATATATTCCGAGTAGGTACTAATATCGATTTTCCTTGTTCAATCATTATATTCATCATAAAAACTCTTGTTCTCACACATTGTTCTAACATAGTATATTAACATTATCTGCTCACATTCTACTTGAATAATTAACTGAGTAGTTATGATAGAGCGCCATCATTCATTCTGACTGTAATTCCTAAACGTCTGAATCGATTTCGATACAATTTCGCAAGAGTTTACTTTACTGAGGTAGGATTAAAAATAGAGCATTTTTTTTTGTTTAAACTTTTAATTAACTAACTTAGGTACTACTCCCCTAGGCTAAGGCCAATATTAATCTTATAGGTATTATATTAAATATCATAGGCACATTTTATTTTCCAAAGGGGAAAGTGCCTACTGCATGTAACATACACCCTTTGCCTGTTATGTTACTAGTCCCATCTAATACCTAACGGGTTACCGGGGGCTCCGGCTCGACATGCAGGAGAAGAAACAGTGTGGTTTTTAGTCAGTAAGAGTCTGACGCTCCCTCCCGCCTCACCCAGGCGGGAGCAGTCACTCGATGGTTTTCCCCCCATCTAATAGGACGAGAGGCTGGTTGAAAAATTGTTTTTATATTATCTCCAAGCCTCAAAGAATATTAAAAATTGAATTTATCGCCATTTCTATCATAAAACGTCTTCTCATAAAATGCTGGCATTCAGTTGAATCCAGTTAAGATTCAGTGTCAACCAGAACAAATCGTAGTATGATAATCAGCCATCTATCAGTAATTATGCTGACTACCAAATCTAATCCTGATCGAACATCAGTACAATGTACCTACATATATGACTATATATTTACGTATGTTACGGGTAAAACCTACTATCTAAACATATCTAGATATATAAACAGGCTTGCAATATATCGGCACATGTATTTATTATGATAACTTTGAGATAAATAGCAGATACTATATTAATATCGTATAAACGTTGGTATGTATGTGAACGATGTTTTGTAAATATTTCAGTAGAAGCAAAGTACCTATGTAGATTGAAGGAAATACATCGTAAAATATATTTCGTTTACGTTCCGAAGTACAATGGGTCTATCTTGGTAATACAATAGTTTTACAAAGAAATAAAATGTTTAACACAAAAATTACTGATGAACCATTGCAAGAAGCAAACTTCGAAAGCGCATATGATCTCATAGTACATCAAAACATCACGCCATGTAAGAGGTATTTCTCGTCGAGTGGCAAGTGCGATGCGAACAGATTTACGTATAGTGAAGAAATGATAGAATTTGTTTTTAATCTAAAAAAATTACCTCTTTATAACATAACATAACATCACGCCTTCTTGTCCCCGAAGGGGTAGGCAGAGGTGCAGGTTACAAGTCCCATATAATAGGGGGTGAGCCTATTGCCATACACCGGACACAATTCCAGACTCCGTAAAAAGCGTGATGTTATGTTATCTTATGTATGTGTGAAATACGTTTGTAAAGTTTGTCTTTAAGATAGGAGAAAATTCAGACGTGGAGCTAAAGAACCGGTATTAAAAGCACAGATAATTAAAGTTTAGGCAAAGACGTAGACATTTCTAAATTGGAAGACATGAACAACATTTCCTAATTAGACTTAACTTAAAGGGGTCCAAAATCCAAATCATTTGAATAATAATATACAAAAAGCTTGCTCCGTTACCTAAATTCCTAATAACATCTGCTACGATATAAAACGTTGGATGGGAGAAGGAAATAGCGGGACGAACTGGCATGTATTGAATGATAAGGATTGGTTTCAAAAAGCTTTACATAGAGAGGAGTGGAAGGAGGGTAGGGAGGCCTTTCCCCTACAGTGGGACGATCATGGCTGAAAATAAATAAATGAAGTTGAAGCAATTTTTTAAGGGAGAAAAATCATCGAATGACTGCTCCCGCCTTAGTGTCAGACTCTTACTGACTAAAAACCACCCCGTTCCTTCTCCTGCACGTCGAGACGGGGGGCCCCGGTAACCCGTTAGGTTCTCCGCGATGAAGTTGTATAGGCGTGTATAATTTCTTTTGTTAAACCAAAAATGATACACATAACCCGAGCGTGGGAAGGAACATCTTTGACTTATCATTTCGAGATATATAACAGACTATTATATTATTTATCTTACGAAAATAACTGCTTAGATGTTTATCTGGCTGGGGAGTTAAGTTTTTATCATTTACGTAAATAATTTTATAGAGTTAAAGATAACCGGTTAAACGTAAGTACCTATTACACTATCTAACATGATGTTACACTGTTTTTATACGACTAGCGACATCTACTGACTGTTTGAAGTACTATTAGATTCAGTAAAATCAGTTTTTTTTAAAGTCTCTGATATTATTATATAGACTTGCGTAGTTTAATCAAATGAATTTCCAATTGTAATTTATGCTGTAATAAAATCCCTACAAATTATAATATCGCATTAATTTAATAATTTACAACGTACGTGACAAATGAATTAACAACGTAATCATAGACAATTGATATTCCGTCCACAGATTCACAACGAAAGGCGAGGTCGAGATGAATAATGGCGTCCAGCTCGTTTCCGTTTTCCCACTTCCTATAACATCTCTCAATTTGACACTCTAAACACGTTATACAACTGTCAATTTTCCTCTCACTTTGGTTGCAAAAATATTATTTCCTTAAGGAAAGGTTGAGGAATACCTCATGATCAGATAACAGACCTGACTTGCAACAAATTTGCATGGATTCAAAATTTTAGGGAATTTCTACATACAGGAAAATCTTATAACATTGGTAACTTGGGAGTTCCCCTAAAACCAGGTAATTTTATGAACGAAATCCATGCAATTTTCATTTATTCTTCTCATATCAATTTTTATTATTTTGACCTCTTTGTACTCAAAATAAAAGAGGGACCTACCTAATTTGGATATCTACTACTTGATTTGACTTGACCTGACGCTCACCAGGGATCTCTCTGGTGAGCGTCAGGTTGTCCCTAATTATTGTGGTCTAAGGAAGTCCTTAGATCACAATTTAATTAAGAAAATACATTATTCACTTTTCAATAGTAATATGATACATTACCATACATGGGATGTTAGTATGTGTCCCATTTTTCAAAGAAAATGTAATTATCAAATAATATCAATATAGTAATATGTAATTATTAATTATTATAAAGAGAATTTACTTTACCCAACTAAATAATAATGGAAAGTCCTATGTATATGGTAAACCTGTATAAATAAAACCTACCTACTTATACGAATGACGTTATATGAGCCAGACTTGTTTACTTTGTTTCATTCGGAAAACCATAACTTAACCATATAATTTGTTACAATATAATTCATTTGAACGTTGAATAATTGTACGGAGTTTTATGAGGAAATTATAATTATTGCAATTACGTATGTAGCTAGTCAGTCTTACTTGTATCATTACGATACCTCGTAATGCTTAGGTGAGTGGTAGAAAGCTAAAGATTACATAGGATATAAGATATGTACGTATTTACATTTCAACCATATTTATTGATTGTTATAATATACTAGAACGTGATGAAAAGAACTGAATTAGTTTGAGCTCCTGATGGAAAACTCATAACGCATTAGGGTGATTTGCTGCTAAGTGAGAATTTGAAGGCACTATAGTTTTGTTATTAAATATTAATAGCAATAGTTTGTTGAACGATGTTTATTATACAACAATACGCAGGCACGCTGTTAAGAAATCTTTTGAATTTTGGTATATCAATAATATTCATATTTATACTTTGGCTTTTAATAAAAATAACAGAAGTAGAGACCTTTCTTATAACCCAGTAACAACTAATTTTTATACAGGGTATATATAAAAAGAAAACCTATACAGAATACCCAGTCGCGGAGAACCTAACGGGTTACCGGGGCACCGGCTCGAAGCGCAGGAGTAGGAACGGGGTGGTTTTTAGTCTGTAAGAGGCTGAGACTCCCTCCCGTCTCACCTTGGCGGGAGAAGTCATTCGATTTTCCCCCTTAAAAAAATACAGAATTATCCAATTTTACTTGAAGAAAATCATAACTTTGATTATGTTTTTGGCAGTAATTATCGATTACAACTCGATCAACGTAGCCTCTTAAATAAAATTTCCTACAGACACTTAACTAATTAGGAATTTCTGAAGTATTTGACCTTGGCTAGCTAGCACTAGAACTACAATTCCACTTAGAAGTACCTACAGACATACCAACCAATGATCATGTTACATTATGGAGAGTGTCTGGCTTTCCATATAATACGCATCGCATATCATTTCAAGGGCACTTACGACAAGTGTTTGTGTCATAAACCACTA